GCCAACGTGGCAGTTGGCCGGACACCTCCCCATCAGTGAAAATGAGACCTTCCAAAGTGGCAGTTAGGGCAATTGGACAGACCCCTTTTTCCAGGCACAAAGGGATCTTCCCAAGTGGCAGTTGTGGCAGTTGAGCAGGCTCCTTGCACTGTAAAATGGACCTTCCAAAGTGGCAGTTATGAACTTTGACATTTCATCTCCCTTCTCCTGTCCCATCCCCCCACCCACTGAAATGGTTCCTTCCCACAGTTGGGTATATTAGGGCTTCTCTGCCCTTGGAAGAGTCCATTTACAGACAGAGGTTAAATTATCTGAGCATGTCCATTGGATGCGTTTTTCCCTCTCGGGAAATGTATGTTAAAAACTCCCACAGACTTGTCATATGAATGGCTCCTTCTCTATCTTGGAGATGGGGTTGTTAAAACCTGTGTCCAGGGATAATTATTTACCTTCCCCCTGGGGAAAAATGGTCTGTTCCAAGCTCAGAGTGGCAGTTGATTGACCCGCCTACCACAGAAAGGGAGGGGCGAGTAAACACAACCCTATAAGCTGGGGGAGGGGTACACTCACAGCCCTATATGGCGGGGTAGGGGGAGGGGCGAGTAAACACAACCCTATAAGCTGGGGGAGGGGCCCACTCACAGCCCTATATGGCGGGGGAGGGGTACACTCACAGCCCTATATGGTGGGGGGGAGGTAGCTGTAGGGACGGTGCCGCCTACTCTCAACACGGCTCCATGAATGCCAAGGCCAGGAAGGCCTGTTGGGATCGTACCGTCCACCACCCCTCCCCCCGCTCTCCTCACCCGCACAGCCCAGGCCCTGGGGCAACCCAGGATTCAGTCCTGTTTGAACCACGAACCCCCTTGGTCCATGGGGCTGGGAGAGCTGAGCCGTCGGCCGGCAGCTCGTCCTGCTCTCGCCTTGGGGAGAGGTTCGAGATGATTCATCGATTTTCGTGGGACCCCCCGTGCCACACGGGCAGAGAACGGCCCTGAGGGGCGGATCCCCTGGAGCCTCAGCCCAGCTTGAGTGAAAAATTGTCAAGGATGGAAAACACCCCACAACCCTGGGGCAGTTGTCCCCGTGGGTCATTCCCCTCAGTGCTCAAAATGGCCACCCTACGTCCTGCCTGAACTTGTCTGGCTTCAACTTCAATGTTGGGTCGGACTAGATTTGTGACTTGTGGGTCCACGTGGCCCATCAGGGCTCCATGGATGTACGGTCAGACATTGTGTTTACTGTTCCCCATGTGCCAGGTGGCTTCCCGCGCTGGGCTCCGGGTGACTAATGAACCTGACTGAGTGTGTCCGTGTCTCGGCCTGTCCCGCGTGGGGGCGCTGGGCAGAGCCCCCGGCCTGGAGCGAGGGGCTGGAGACCAGAGGTCCGTCTCGGGAGGGGGAGGCCATGGGGCCCTGAAGGACGAGGGGGTCCCGCTCCTCATGGAAAGGTCATGCCTTGTCAAGACACATGGGCAGGGTGAGCCGGCCGGGCAGGTCACCCCAAGATGGGAGCTATAGGTAAACAAGGACAGCTGGGAGGAAAAATGAGTCTCTGGGACATTGCACAGCGCAGAGTCGTTCAGCTCAGAACCGGCTGTTTGCCCTGCAGGGGAAGAGGGAACCTGGCTTCCTTAGCTCGGGCAGTGACCATTGCGCAGGCCGGCCTGGTGCGCCGTGATCCTCCTTGTGTCTGCGAACGTTCCCTCCTGGGACTTGTGAAACCCTCAGTTCTTACTTCATGAGCCATCAAGTGTACTTGGTAGGAGTGCTCATAGATGGTGTCCAGGAGCATTTGTTTCGGGTGAGAGAGAGGGAATAAAAGGAAAACTGGTAAACTGAGGCACACTGCACCTTTTGGTGGGGGGGAAATGAAATCTTCGTGAGTTGCCAGCGTGTGGGGATTGGCCAGCACGGGAAGAGATTTAGCAGACTTAGCGACTGGCTGCTTATGATGGTCCATGAGGAGATACGATGACGGGAGCACATGGACCTCAGAGACCTCCCGCCCCTCCCAGCCATGGGGCGTCTCAGCTGAGCACTAATGAATGTTTTCTCAGTCACAGTCCCTCAGGGGCTAATTAAGGCCGACTATGCAACCCCCAGGGCCTGGTTGCTGGGTTAGGGTTAGGGTTCATCTTCACACAAGGGCAGCATTTCCTCAGCAGAAGCATGGGGCAGGCGGGTGCCAGGCGTCCTTATCCGAGGTGAGGTTGGGGGTCACAGCAGGGGAGAGGCTGGGATGGCAATGCTGGCTGGAGGGGGGCATGTAGGGGCAGGGCCTGGGACAGATTGAGGAGCAGAACAGCAGGGAAAACCCCCCACATCTTCTGTGTCCCTCTGGAATCTGGCTCTGAACGGAAAGATGTTCCTCACCCAGCCCAGACCTCCATCTGCAGCCTTGTGTGTCACCCTGTCTATCCAGGTGCTTTGATGGTGCCAGAGGAGGACCCCATGCACCGTTGGGTCCCCGCTCAGAGCAAATACAGAAGGTCAGACGTCGACCAGGGCCCTGGCGTGATCTCTGAGAAGCATCTTAGCGTGTTGCAGTTTTAAGATGTTTCCCGCTGTCACCTTGTCACTAGAATCACAGACAGGTAGGATTAGAATGGCCCTCGGTCTATCCAGCTCTCCGAGGCAGGGCTAAATATTATCTTGACTATCCGCGAGATGGCGTTGTCTAGCCTGTTCTTAAAGCTTCCGATGGGTGAAGCTCCCTTCGGCCATTTCTCCCAGCGCTTCCCTAGCCTGGGGGTTGGAAAGTGTCTCCTAACGTCCAACCTGATCCTGCCACCCTGCGATGTGGGAAAGGGGCTGGCTGTATTAGAGCCGTGTGCTTGTTTATACACGTGGGCCACTCTGTGTTGACCAGCCCCTGCAAAGAAAACACAGAGCCCTGAGATCCAAAGATGCTTTTTCATGCATCTGGCTCCTGATTTTAGGGCTTGGCCAGACCCAAATTGAAAAAAATTCTGGGTTGTTTTCAGGCAAGTCTGAGCATTTCCCATAAAGGTGGCACATGTCACATTTAGTTGAAAAAGACACGTTCCATCTAGGGATGGGAGTTGGGGACCCACCTGGTAGACAATTCTGACTTATGCTGGTGGAAATGTGCTGAGGGAAAGGTTGGGGTGGAAGAGGCAAAACGACGGCCCTTTGCTGGACATCGCAGATTTCTCAGGAATTGCGTGTGTTTGTGTGTGAGTTGAAAGTGGGGTCCGGTGGCCACACGGGGTCAAGAAGAAGTCCCCTCCAGTTTAGAATCCATCCTTGAAGTAAGCCAATGGCACAAGGTGTTAGAACCTGCACATGCAGGTGGGGATCTGACCCCCATGAAATTCCTTCCTGACCCATAGCAGTGAGAGGCTTCACAGCACCCAAGAGCATGAGGTTTAATACCCCTCCCACAACTTCTAATTACACCGATTCTAACTCTGGATATTCCTCTCAGCTTTGGACATGTCCAGTCCCTTGTTTAATCACGATAGGTTTTAGTCTTGACACCATCCTGTGGCAATGAGTTCCCCAGTTCCTGAGTGCCTGGCTACGTCTTTGGCTTACGTCTAATTTCAAAGTGCTGCCCACATGTTGCTGTGCCAGGGGACAGGAAGGACAGAATCTGCCACGGTATTTTCACTCTCCCACTTCCATCGCATCATGATCCCTCTTATGCCTTATACACCACTTATCTCTATGTTCTTTCTCCACAGCACAGTTTTCGTGGAATCCTCCCTGCTCAGTCCACATTTCCTCTGTGTTGTAGCGGGGTGGGCATTGCTGCAGGCAGGACCAAGAGTCAGTCGAAGGGCTGCGAGCAAGTTGCCAAACTGGTGCCAAGTCCCTTCTTCACCGGCTCTTCGATGAACTGAGCAAACCAAGCCCCAATAGCCACCAAGGTAGGTTTTCCAGATGACCTGTATCCCTGCTGTACTAGCCACAGTGTCTAGCTGCCACTTCCAGCCACTGGCTCAGGTCAGAACCTTCTCTGCTAGACCCAAGAGCCGCTGAGCAATTTGTTCCCTAGTTGGTCCTTCTAGCCTGGGACCGAGTGGCCCTTTCGCCTTCTCCTTGTTCTACTAACTAGCGACAGCCCCTGGCATCTCTCCCGATCAGGCAGGTTTTCCAGTCCTGCAGGCATTGCCTGAGAACAGAACAACCAGCATTTCCCTTGGCGTGCCTGCGACATTTGGATCTCAGTAGGATAACAGTGACCAGAATCCAGTGTCTTGCTTCAGGAATTCCGCTGCTCATCTGCAGTGGTTCGGACAGAGTATTTGACCTCTCCCATTAGGTCTAGAATGATGAAGTTAGCATTAGGCGGGTGTACAAGTGGTCCAAAGACCACCCTCAAAGAGTAGTGAGCATACTGAGTGTAAATGGAAGCCAGCAAAGTGCAGTGGCTCTGACAAAGTAGTGCTAACCAGGCTGTGGTGGGAACCAGTGCCTCGTGGGGCTGACGGCATGGGTGTGTCCCGCTCTGCTTGGCGCTGGTGAGCTCTCAATCCAGAGCTCTGTGGCCAGTTCTGGGCCACACGTGTGAGACAAGCTGGGGGCAAACCGAAAGTCTGGGGAGGGCAGCAAACAGGAAAGGGTTAGAAATGCTGCCCAAGCAGGGAAGGGGAGACAAACAGGGCCTGTTTGGTGTTGAGAGAAGACGAGAAAGAGGGAAACCCAAGAACAGGGTTCAAAGACGCTAAGGCTGCTGGCTGGCCAGGGCCAGCGTGTCCATCGGGCAGGCAGAGGAACGCCGAACCCAGAGTCTGAGTCACACTGACACAGTCAAACCAGAGAGACGCTGCATGTTTTTACTTCGATGGTCCATGACCTTGAGCAGAATTAAGCCAAGGCTGGGTTGGCATCTCCATCGTGGAGAGGAAGCTGTTAAACTGTTGCCCAAACTGGACTTGGCTCCCAACGATTGATCAGCGTAATGTGTCAGCACATCCGCTCTCTGCCAACTCCCTTCTCCTCCCTGCTCAGATGCTGTCGCCGCCCCTTGTTATGGACAACACCAACTGGACGTCCATCTCCCAGTTCATGCTCCTGGGCCTGTCTGAACTCCAGGACCTACAGCCGCTGATCTTCACAGGGTTCCTGGTCACCTATCTGGTGAACCTAGTTGGCAACTCTATGCTTGTGGGGCTGGTGTGGACCGACCCCCAGCTCCAAATCCCCATGTATTTCCTCCTCAGCCAACTTTCCATGGTGGACATGGGCATGGTCTCCATCATCCTGCCCCAGGCCATGGTGCACACCCTGAGCCAGCACCAGGCTATCCCTTTCATCAGCTGCATGACCCAACTCTTCATCTACGTGGTAATTGGCAACATGGATGGCTACCTGCTGGCTGCCATGGCCTACGACCGCTATGTGGCCGTGTGCGACCCACTGCGCTACACCGCCGTGGTGACACGGTCTCTCTGCCTCAAGATGACGGCTGCTTCATTGGCCGTGGTGATCCCACACTCCCTGCTGCACACCGTCATGGCTGCCCAGCTGCGTTACTGCGGCAACCGCCTGCAACATTTCTTCTGTCACATGCAATCTCTGATGAGTCTCTCCTGCACCCGTTCCTTCACCAAGGAGATGGTGATCTACAACGAGGCTGCATTGGTGGTGGGGGCCCCTTTTGCCATCATCCTGGCTTCCTACGCCCGCATCGGGGTGGCCGTGGCCCGTCTGCGCTCTGCCCAAGCCCTGCGCAAGGCCCTGTCCACCTGCGGCTCCCACCTGACAGTAGTGACGCTTACATACGGCAGCGTAGCCTGGCTCTACTTCCGCCCAGACTCCGGCAACACCCCAGGGCAAAAACAGCAAGTGACCTTCTTCTACACCTCGGTTGTGCCCACCCTGAACCCCCTCATCTACAGCCTAAGGAACAAGGATGTGGCTGCAGCTCTGAGGAGGGCCAAGAGGAAGGTTCTGACTTGGAGCAAGTGAGTCCAGCCCCAGGCTCCAACGCGGCACTGGGCATGGACTTTCTACCTGAGAGGTGTCTAGGGCACCTTCCCACTTACGTCCTCCAGAACACCTGGTTTCTTTTCCTCTCAGACATGAGGCTGGTGGAACAAACACATATGTAGGGTCACACTCAACTACACACACAGAAGTACACGCAGCCCAAGTCTTTCAATGGAAAAGGATGTCCACTAGGGTGTGTTCTCAAGCGCATGGCCACATGGCATCAGCCCCAAAGCCTATTGAATAAATGTTCTAAGTACCCATTAGTCCAAAGACTCAACAATTTGAACATAAGAGCGGCTAAACTGGGCCAGTCCAATAGTCCATTCTAGACAGGATCCAACAGCAGCCAAAGCCAGGTGCCCCAGGGGGAATGAACAGAACAGGGAATCAACAAGTGGACCATCACCTGTTGCCTGTTCCCAGCATCCAGAAAACAGAGGTTAGTGACCCAATCCCTACCAATCCAGGCTAAGGAACACTGAATTAACCTGTCCTCCGTGAACATATCTAGTTTGTGAACCATGTAATAATCTGGACCTTCAGAGCATCATGTGGCAAGGAGTTCCACAGACTGACTGTGCATTGGGCGAAGAAATACTGCCTTCTGTGTGTTTTAAATGTGCTGCCTATTCATTTTGGTGGGTCACCCTTAATTCTTGAGTTACAAGAAGGAATAAACATTTTCTTATGTACTTTCTCCACCCTTGTCATGTTATTAGAAACCTCTACCATATCCCCCAAGATGTCTCTGTTCCAAACTGAAAAGTCCCAGTCTTAATAAATCTGTCCTTATATGGAAGTTGTTCCAGGCCCCCTAGACTGGCCAAAGAATTAAGTCTGGGTCTGGGCGTGATGGGAATAGGGGGGCATGTACTTGCCAGTTGGGCAGTTGGGCAGACCCCTCCCGTAGGGTTGCCAGGTGTCCAGTTTTTAACCGAACAGTCCAGTATTTGAGCTTTCTGTTCAGGAAAAAAACTGAGAAACTTTAATTGAGAAAATAGAACTGTCCAGTGTTTTCTCAATCAGATATAATGTAGATTGTGATATAATGTCTAGTGTGTCCAGTATGTTTGTGGAAACCATCTGGCAACCCTCCCCACCAGTGAAAATGGGACCTTCCAAAGTGGCAGTTAGGGCTCTTGGCCAGACCTTTTCCAGGCAGAATGGGATCTTCCCAGGATGCAATTGAGCAGGCTCCTTGCACTGTAAAATGGACCTTGCAAAGTGACAGTTATGAACTTTGACATTTCATCTCCCTTCTCCTGTCCCCTCCCTCCATCCAGTGAAATGGTTCCTCCCAACAGTGGGGTACATTAGGGCGTCTCTGCCCACGGAAGAGTCCATTTACAGACAGAGGTTAAATTATCTGGGCATGTCCATTAGATGCATTTTTCCCTCTCCGGAAATATATGATAAAAACTCCCGCGGGCCTGCCGTGTGATTGGCTCCTTGTGACAGGGCGGTGCCCTGCACTGGCCCTTTAAGGGGCTGAGCGTGGTGTCCCAGGGAAGACCAGCTGAGGCAGCTAATGAGGGCCCAGCTGGAGGCTATAATGAGGGGCTCCTGGAGGAAGGGAGGAGACCTGCCTGCTGCTCTGGAGGGAGGGTGGTGGAGACCTGACTGCGGGGAAGCAAGAGGCTTCCTGGAATAGGGCAGGGCTGGGGAGGTTCAGGTCGAGCAAGCCCAGGCTGGCTACCAGGCCTGAGGCCCTAGGGGCTGGGAGAGGGTCACAAAAGACTGGGCTGCAAGAGGGGGAGGCTGGGGCCAGGGAAGCCCTGAGCCAGGGCTGCAGGAGGCAGCCTGGTAGGCAGCCTGGTAGGCAGAGGTAGCCGGTCCGCACCCTTGGCCAGGGAGGAGTGACCAGAGGGGACTGCAGTCTGCCTGGAGACTGGGACTAGAGAGTGGGACTGGTAGTGGTAGGGTTGCCAGGTGTCCAGTTTTCTACCAGACAGTCTAGTTTTTGGGGCTGTGTCTGGCAAAAAAAAATCCAGAGAAGAGCAACAAGAATGATTAAAGGTCTAGAGAAAATGAGCTGTGAGGGAAGGCTGAAGGAATTGGGCTTGTTTAGTTTGGAAAAGAGACGACTGAGAGGGGCATGAAAGCAGTTGTCAGGTATCTAAAAGGGTGTCACAAGGAAGAGGGAGAAAACTTGTTCATCTTGGCCTCTGAGGACAGGACAAGAAGCAATGGGCTTAAACTGCAGCAAGGGAGGTTGAGGTTGGACATTAGGAAAAAGTTCCTGTCAGGATGGTCAAACACTGGAATAAATTGCCCAGGGAGGTTGTGGAATCTCTATCTCTGGAGATAGTTAAGAGTAGTGTAAACCCCCCTTTTTCCTCCCCGGGTTACTGGGGAGCAGGTCACACTCACAGGTGTGCCTGGGCACCTGGTGTTTTAACCCAAAAGAGATCCTGAGCACCCCAGTGTTGATGGTGTTTAGCTGGGGAAAGCCCTATCCACCCCCTTGCTGGCAATGAATGTAAAATGGTGGTACCTCCATCTGGCTGGCCTTGTACACTCACTGGTGCCTTGAGAGCCTCCAGGAATATCCTCATTCCAACATAAAGCTGGATCTAATTCCAGAACAACTACAAATCATATACATCTAATAGAACACTTTAAAATAAACCATCTTTACTTAACTCAACAGGGATTAACAGATTAGCAAGGAATAGCATTAACAAAACACATAACAATGACTGTAGCTTATATTGCTAGACAACAGTGACCCCACCCCAGAGTGTGCACACCCTTAGACTCAGTCCCAGACACTTGCTTGCGTTGGCGCTGATGTTGCCGCTGTAGTGAGGATTTGGTCCAGGCTAAACAGCAGCTCTGTCCCAGGCAGCACTCTGCCAGCAAGGCCCAAACTTACTGCCTCCTGCTGTGCCTATAGGAAGCAGCCTGCTAACTCCCAGTTCCAACAGGCATGTAGTAGCTGCATCCAACAGCCCCTGCATTGGGTCAATGTCCTTGGCAGCAGCCTGGATCCGCCTCTGGTTCCAAACTCCAAGGCAGAGTCCCAGACTGCTCGGCCTCTTCTTCAAGCACATGGAGAGAGCCTCCTCTCTCTCACAAGAGTCCCTCCTCCCTCTTTTGTTCCAAGGGCTCATGGGAATTGTAGTCTGGATTGTAGCACACAGGGTCTTTTTAGAATAAAACAGAGGCCCCTTTAGTAAGGGAACTACAGTAGGTTAGTTAAATGTCTGTCAGGGATGGTCCAGACAGTACTGAGTCCTGCCATGAGGGCAGAGGATTGGACTCGATGACCTCTCGAGGTCCCTTCCAGTCCTAGTATTCTGAGTCACACAGAACCTCTTGGTCTGTGGGGCTGGGAGAGCTGAGCCGTCGGCCACCAGCACATCTTGCTCTCGCCTTCCTGTCACTCGGGGATTGTGGAGAATCTTGCCATTTTAGTGGGACCTCTGTGCCACACGGGCACAGAACGGCCCTGAGGGGCGCATCTGCTGGAGCTGCAGCCCAGCTTGAGTGAAAAATTGTCAGGGATGGAAAATGCACCACAACCCTGGGGTAGTTGTCCCCAAGGGTCATTCCCCTCTGTGCTGAAAATGGCTGCCCTACGTCCCGCCTGAATTTGTCTGGCTTCAATGTCAGCGTTGGGTCAGACTAGACTTGTGGCTCGCCAGCTGCACATTGGCCATCAGGGCTCCGTGGGTGTACGGTCAGACATTTACTGTGTTTACTGCTCCCCACGTATCGGGTTCCGCTGGTTTCTGTCCACGTAGGGGTTTATTCCTATTGGGCTAGGGGACATGGAGGGAGGTGAATGCCACTCGAACACAACGCTGCTTGTTCTTCAGTAAAAGATGAACATCAGGGCTCAGCATGTGTCTAAACAGAAGGGGTTCGGCATGGGGCTTGACTTTGAACCCTGGCCTTTCCCTGCAGGGTAGATGTTCCATAAGGGACCGGTTGAAAGTCAACTCAGGTCAAGTTGGCGCCTAGCTCAGTAGTTTTCAATCTATTGTCGGTGGACCCCTGGTGATCTTAGGTCTAAGATGTTCAGTGCGGTGTGCACCTCCATTCAAAATATTTAGGGGCCACCGACAGTTCAAACCCACTGGCCTCGACAGATTATGCCTGGTCCAACAACTCATGGATCGACACTCTCAAAGAGGGATCTTATGCAAGACCCCCAACCTGAGAACCTGGCTGGAAGGCGCAGGTGGGGTCAGTCAGTTCTGGAAGGAAGATGGTGCCTGAAAATGGAGTTTCACGGCAGCTGGGCTGGGGGCAGGCTGACATAATTGTCTACGAGAACTTCCTCCCTCCTGGGGACGTGGAGGGCTTCCCATGGTGGGATCCGGGTGACTGAGTGTGTCCGTCTCTCGGTCTGTCCCACTGGGAGGTGCTGGGCAGAGCCCCTGGCCTGGAGCAAGAGGACTGGAGACCAGAGGTTCATGAGAGATTTAGCAGACTTGGCGACCGGCTGCTTATTATGGTCCACGAGGAGACACGATGATGGGAGCCCATGGACCTCAGAGACCCCCCGCGCCTCCCAGCCATGGGGCGTCTCAGCTGAGCGCTAATGAATGTTTTCTCAGTCACAGTCCGTCGGGGCCAATTAAGGCCGACTCTGACGCCCCTGGGGCCTGGTTGCTGGGGTTCATCTTCACACAAGGGCAGCATTTCCTCAGCAGAGGCATGGGGCAGGCGAGTGCCAGGCGTCCTTGTCCGAGGTGAGGCTGGGGGTCAGTGTGCGTGTCAGGGGCATGGCAGGGGGCAGGCTGGGATGGCAATGCCGGCTGGAGGGGCTCATGTAGGTGCAGAGTCCGGAACAGATTGGGGAGCAGGACAGCAGGTAAAACCCCCCATGTCTTCTCTGTCCCTCTCGAATCTGGCTCTGAACGGAAAGATGTTCCTCACCCAGCCCAGCCCTCCATCTGCAGCCTTGTGTGTCACCCCGTCTATCCAGGTGCTTTGATGGTGCCCAGGGAAGGACCCCATGCGCCGGTGGGTCCCGGCTCAGACCAAATTTGGAAGGTCAGACCTAGACCAAGGCCCTGGCATGATCTCTGGGAAGCCTCTTAGCGTGTTACAGTTTTAAGATGTTTCCTGCTGTCACCTTGTCACTAGAATCACAGACTGGTAGGACTGGAATGGCCCTCGGTCTGTCCTGCTCCCCAAGACACGGCTAAATATTAACTAGACCATCCCTGAGAGGGGGTTTTCTAACCTGTTCTTAAAGCTTCCGATGGGTGAGTTTCCTCCAAAACTCCCCTCGGCCATTTCTCCCAGCGCTTCCCTAGCCTGAGGGTTGGAAAGTGTCTCCTAACGTCCAACCTGAACGTGCCTCCCTGCGACGTGAGAAAGGGGCCGGCTGTATTAGAGAGGTGTGCTCATTTATACACGTGGGCCACTCTGTGGTGAACAGACCCTGCAAAGAAAACACAGAGCCCTGAGATCCAAAGATGCTTTTTAATGTGTCTGGCCCCTGGTTTTAGGGCTTGGCTGGACCCAAAATGAGAAAAATGCCAAGTTGTTTTGAGGCAAGCCTGAGCATTTCCCACAAAGGTGGCACATTGTCCGGTAGACAATTCTGACTTATGCAGGTAGAAATGTGCTGAGGGAAAGGTTGGGGTGGAAGAGGCAAAACGACAGCCCTTTGCTGGACATCGCAGATTTCTCAGGAATTGCGTGTTTGTGTGTGAGTTGAAAGTGGGGTCTGGTGGCCAGACGGGGTCGAGAAGAACACCCCCTCCTCCCATACAGAATCCACCCTTGAAATAAGCAAACGCCACAAGGTGTAAGAACTTGCACAAGCAGGCGGGGATCTGCCCCCCATGAAATTCCTTCCTGACACATAGCAGTGGGAGGCTTCACGACACCCGAGAGCATGAGGTTTAATACCCCTTCCACAACTTTTAATTATGCTGATTATAACTCTGGATATTCCTCTCAGCTTTGGAAATGTCGAGGCCCTCATTTCATTTTGATAAGTTTTAGCCTTGACACCATCCTGTGGCAATGAGTTCCCCAGTTCCTGAGTGCATGACTGTGTCTTTGGTCCATTTTTGAATGGCCCACTCTAATTTCATGGGCTGCCCACGTGTTGCTGTGCCAGGGGTCAGGGAGGACAGAATGGCCAGAGCTCTTTTCTCTCCCATTTCCGTCACATCGTGATCCCCCTTACGCCTTATACACCTCCCCTCTCTCTGTCCTCTCTCCACAGGGAAGTTTTTGTGGAGTCCGACTCCCTGCTCAGTCCACATTTCCTCTGTGTTGTAGGGGGGTGGGCAGAGCTGCAGGCAGGACCCAGATGTGGACAAAGGGCTGCGAGTGAGTTGCCAAACTGGTGCCCAGTCCACTCTTCAGAGGCTCTTCGACGAACTGAGCAAATGGAGTCCCACTAGCCCGCAAGGTAGGTTTTCCAGATGTCTACAGCCTCCTGTCACAGTTGTTGAGTCTAGTTGCCACTTCCAGCCACTGGCTCACTTGAGACCCTTCTCTGCTAGACCCAAGAGCCGCTGAGCAATTTCTTCCCCAGGTTGGTCCTTCTAGCCTGGGACCGAGTGGCCCTTTCACCTTCTCCTTGTTCCACCAACTAGCGAGAGCCCCTGGCATCTCTCCCGATCAGGCAGGTTTTCCAGTCCTGCAGGCATTGCGGGGGCTCTGCTCTGAGCCCTCCCCACTTCACCAACTCCCTCCCCAGTGCTGGTTTGGCTGTTTCCCAAGGGGATGGTTATTTTAGAACCTTCCTCCCATCTCGTCTTGGACTCCATGGGTGACCTTTTCATCCCTTCATGGGCCTTGCTGTTGTTAACCTGCATTTCCCTTGGCGGGCCTGTAATACTTGGAGCTCAGTATGACAAGAGTGACTGGAATTCAGTGTCATGCTTCAGGGATTCAGCTGGGCATCAGCAGTGGTCAGGAAGGAAAACTCTCCCTCCCTTCCCATTAAGTGCGTGTCGAAGTGGTGAAAAGACCATCCTCAAAGAGGAGTGACCATGCTGAGTGTGAATGGGAGCCAGCAAAGCAAAGCAGCTCTGACCATCCTGTGCTACCAGGCAGGGGCAAGAACCGGCACGTCGTGGGGCTGACGCAGGAGGGGGGAAACTCTCCATCCCATCCGATTATGTGACACAGGAAGGGGGTGTCCCGCTCTGCTGAGCACTGGTTAGCTCTCATCCGGAGTTCTGTGGCCACTTCTGGGCTACAAGCTGTGGGCAAATCGGAGAGTCTAGGGAGAGCAGCAAACGGGAAAAGGGTTAGAAATGCTGCCCTAGGAGGGACAGGGAGACAAACGGGGTCTGTCTGGCCCTGACAAAACCTGATAACAGGTTTCAAAGAGGCTAAGGCTTCTTACCCCAAACGGGAGTATTGTGTCCAGTTCTGGGCCCCCCACTACAGAAAGGACGTGGGCACACTGGAGAGGGTCCAGCGGGGTGACCGAAATGCTGAGGGGGCTGGAGCACATGAGCTATGAGGAGAGGCTGAGGGAGTTGGGTCTGTTTAGTCTGCAGAAGAGAAGAGTGAGGGGGGATTTGAGAGCAGCCTTCAACTTCCTGAAGGGAGGTTCCAAAGAGGCTGGAGAGAGGCTGTTCTCAGTAGTGACAGATGGCAGAACAAGGAGCAATGGGCTCAAGTTGTGGGGGGAGGTTGGATATTAGGAAAAACTCTTTCTCTAGGAGGGTGGGGAAGCACTGGAATGGGTTACCTAGGGAGGCAGTGGAGTCTCCATCCCTAGAGGTGTTTAAGTCTCGGCTTGTCCAAGCCCTGGCTGGGTTGATTGAGTTGGGGTTGGTCCTGCCTTGGGCAGGGGGCTGGACTTGATGACCTTCTGAGGTCTCTTCCAGCTCTATGGTTCTATGATTCTATGTCCATCAGGCAGGCAGAGAAACGCTGAACCCAGAGTCTGTGAGTCCCAGCGACACACGGTCAGAGCAGACGGACGCTGCCTGTTTTTACAGCGACGGTCCATGACCCTGAGCAGAACTGAGCCAGGGTTGGTTTAGCGTCTCCGTCGCGGAGAGGAAGCTGTTAAACTGTTGCTCAAACTTGGCTCCCAACAAGCGACTGGCGTAATGTGTCAGCGCGTCCCCTCCCAGCCAACTCTCTTCTCCTCCCCGCTCAGGTGCTGCTGCTGCCCTTCACCATGGATGACGCCAACTGGACGTCTGTCTCTGAGTTCGTACTCCTGGGCCTCTCTGAACTTGAGGCTCTGCAGCCGCTGATCTTCACAGGGTTCCTGGTGACGTATCTTCTGAACCTAGTTGGAAACTCCATGCTGGTGGGGCTGGTGTGGACGGACCCCCAGCTCCATAGCCCCATGTATTTCCTCATCAGCCAGCTTTCCATGGTGGACATGGGCATGGTCTCCATCATCCTGCCCCAGGCTCTGGTGCACGTCTTGAGCCAGCACCGGGCCATCCCTTTTGTCAGCTGCATGGCCCAGCTCTTCATCTACATGGTGGTTGTTAACATGGAGGGCTACCTGCTGGCTGCCATGGCCTACGACCGCTACTTGGCCGTCTGCGACCCGCTGCGCTACGCCACCGTGGTGACACTGTCCCTGTGCCTTAAGATGGCGGCTGCTTCATTGGCCGTGGTGATCCCGCATGGCCTGCTGCACACCATCATGGCTGCCCAGCTGCATTACTGCGGCAACCGCCTGCAGCATTTCTTGTGTCACATGCAATCTCTGATGAGTCTCTCCTGCACCCGGCCCGTTACTAAGGAGCTGGTGGTCTCCACCGAGGGAGTCTTGGTGGTGGAAGCCCCTTTTGCCTTCATCCTAGCCTCCTACACCCGTATCGGGGTGGCCGTGGCCCGCCTGCGCTCTGCCCAAGCCCTGCACAAGGCCCTCTCCACCTGCGGCTCCCACCTGACCGTGGTGACTCTTACGTACAGCACCGTGGTCTGGCTCTACTACCACGCAGACTCCAGCAACACGCCAGGGCAAAAACAGCAAGTGACCTTCTTGTACACCTCAGTGGTGCCCACCCTGAACCCCCTCATCTACAGCCTGAGGAACAAGGACGTGGCCGCCGCCCTGAGGAGGGCAAAGAGGAAGGTCCTGACTTGGGGCACCTGAGTCCAGCCCACGGTTCTATCGTGGCACTGGGTATGGACTTTCCACCTGAGAGATGTCTGGGAAACCTTCCCTCTTATCTGCCCCAGAATACCTAGGCTCTTTTCATACATGAGGGTGGTGTAATTAACACAAATGTAGGGTCACACCCAGCTACACATACAGAAGTACACGCAGCCCAAGTCTTTCCATGGAAAAGGGGGTCCACTAAGGACATGGCCACACGGCATCAGCCCCAAGCCTGTATCATTTAACTTTACATATAACGTTGTTACACATATTTTAGAATGACACTAATGTCCAGCAGATTATGAGTTTTCAAGCCATTCCGCACAAAGGCTTTGTACAAAGACATCATAGTCTTGAATAAAGGATGAACATCAGGCTCAGCCTGCCATGCTGAGCATGTGTGTAGACCGAAGAGGTTTGGCATGGGACTTTGTACACTGGCCTTTCCCTGCACTGTAGCTGTTCCGTAAGGGTTCATTGAAACCAACATAGCCCAAGTTGGCACCTAGATCAGCAGTTTTCAATCTCGTTAGTGGACCCCTGGTGACCGGCAGACTAGGTCTAAAATTT